CACACTGAGCACTGCTCTCTTTACGAAGCAGTTGCCGCATGCCAAGAGTGGCATGGTGGGTCGAGGTCCGAGGCAGGCCCTAGTGCGCGTGGAGTGGCACGTTAACCACTAGACGAAGACTGCGGAAATAGCAGCTCTTCGTCGATGTTGTTAATAACATCAAGGCTTCGTTGGAGCATGGAGTGGGGACATTAGACAACACTAAGGGCGTGTTTCCACTGGTTTTGATAAGACGTAAATCTCGATAGAGAGGAGACGGCGAACCATATGATATCTGCAAGATGCAGGGCGTCCGCCCTGACCAACCGTAGACGATAGCGCACAGCTATATCTCTTGTCAACGGTATGACGGGATAGGAAGACGGCAACGCAAGCGTCGAGGCTAATCCCGCGTTGGATGCACTTCTTGAGCTGGACGAGATGTCCTGCAAAGAGTTTAGCGGTGGTTTGAAGGCAGAAATTTAGACGAGGTAGTCATTATTATACCGAATGAGGAGATTAACCCGTCGTCACTTCTAGATAAAGCTGTTCTGGAGAACATTTAAATGGTGCTGAAGCACGAAGTGGATCATCGACCCTGAAGGATCCCTCGGAGCCTTGTTATCTTTTTGTAAAAGAATTTAAAACGTCGGCCCGCTGTCGGTCCTATCCCCGGACCGAGGTGTCCGTCATGAGATCGACCTAGTTTTGGGAACCAAATACAGCACCAATTGCCCCTTCCCAAGGAGCTATGAGACGTCATTGACGCATTATATCGTGCGAAGCTCGACGCAGTTTTGGGTCGTGAAAGCAAGTCTACCCATTCGACACCCAATTTTCGTTGTCCGGAAGCCGAACGGCAAGTGGCGTGTCGTTCACGCTTACAAATTTGCTAAACGCCACCACCATTCCGGCACAATAGCCAATTTTAAGGAAGAATAGTCTCAAGAACAATATGGTTGGCTGTACAAAGTACAGCGCACTCGATTTGGTCGATGGGTCTTACCAATTGCTTATGAGAGCGAGTGCTATTGCGCTGACAGCGGGGAGTACCCCGAGCGGGATGATCTGGGAATGGCTGGTGATACTTAAAGGGCTATCAAATGCATCAGCAACATTTAATCGTCTTGTGACGCAACTGTTCGGCCCCCCGGGCGTATGCACAAACATACTTCGACGACATCTTCATCCACAGTCGTGCGGGCACGGGAGGATAGATGAGAAAAACACATCGTCCGTTTGAGAGCAGGTCTTGAGTGCATGCGCACGAATATGCTGTATGCTAATGCAGATAAGTGTATCTTCGGCGCGGAAAAAATCCCCTATTTCAAGTGCTTCATCGGGAAGCGTGGCCTTCGAGCGGATCCCGCTAAGGTCAAGGTCACTGTGGACTGGCCGGTTCCAACGAACCAAACGGGCTTGTGCAAGTGGCTTGGTCTCGCCAAATAGTTACACAAGCATAGCGCAAATTATGCGGAAATGGTACGGCCATTGTCGAATCTCCTTATCAAGGATACAAAATGGTGTTGGGACACCGGGCATCGGGAGGCTTTTGACAGGGTCAAAGACAACCTCCTTCAAACACCAATACTGGCGTTGCCAGACCCCGATCGTCCTTTTAGTGTTGTCTGTGACGTTTCGGACTTCGCCATCGGCTGTTCACTGCTCCAAGCAGACACCGAGGGGAGAGATCGAGTGATCGCGTTCTAACCTTGCCAGCTTGAGCTGTGGAGAGAAACTACCCAGTCCACGACAAAGAATTACTTGCGATTGAGTATGCACTTGTCAAGTTCAGGGTGCACCTGCTTGACTCAAAGCCGTTTGTGATCTACACAGATCATGCGTCATTACGTACTGCGACTCAGTCACCTCACCTAACGCCGAGGATGACCAGGTGGCTCTCATTCTTTGCAGGAATTAAATTCGAGGTGAATTATAAGCCAGGAAAGCAGAATGCGTTGTCACGCAGATCGGATTATGAGTTTGCTCATGTCACAACGTAGACGTTGTCCGTGACGGATTTGACCTGCACCGCATACGTGGGTGATGGTATGTGCGTAGCGGGGCTACGGGATCTCGAGAGCAAGGATTTGGAGACTCGGACAAGAAGTTGTTGTCGCGACTGCGTAATACCAATTTTCGTTGAATATTGATTTGCTACTGATTTGACGGATACGCCACAAATTGTGGCTCCTCACGATAAGGATTTGAAGTACCGTATCTTCTTTGAGGCCCACGACACCCCACTTAGCGGTCATTTCGGTCGTGATAAGACATACAGCACTGTTAGATGCCACTACTTCTGGCCCAAGCTGTATAAATGGACATATGTGTGCATGTGTGAGACGTGTCAGAGGGTGAAGTCCTCTCCGAATGCGGCGGCGCCGCTGGCCAGTTTACCGGTAACCTTCCAGTGCTGGCAGTCCATGAGTTTGGAATTTGTGTTTGGCCTGCCGAAGGACTCGGTGGGCAACACGGGTGTGGTGGTCTTTGTGGACCGTTTGGGCAAGATGGATCATCTTGCGGTAGTTGACGGACACCATCGACGGTGTCGTTACAGCGACGCCGTTTGTGGATCGTATCTTACAAATCGTGGACTCCCGGAGTCTATTGTCTATGATTGAGACCCATGTTTCTCTGGGGGTTTTAATCTCCGAACTTGAGGGTGCTGGTCACCAAGTTGACTATATCAACAGCGGACCATCCGCTATCAATGGTCAAACTGAGCGCGTGAATCGCGTCGTTGAAAACGTCTTTCCAGCGTCTGCGCTGGGACGACGAATCGCTGGGTTGCCATGCTGCCACTCGTAGAGTTTGCTTCCTAAAATGCAGTGCATCCATCTCCCGTCTACTCGCCGTTCTACGTAAATGGGCTTATTAATCCTCGCGTCCCGCTGACGCCGCCATTCCATGGCTCAGGGCATGGTGAGGGAGAAATAGCCGAGCGACTAGCTAATGGCATCCCCCTCACTGTCTTTAAAGAACTAGATGCCTTCCTTTCTATTAGACTGACTGCCTTACAATACGTTCGCGATGCGATGGCTGAAAGCCAGGACATGCAGAAACAATATGCAGACGGAAGAAGCAGAAGAAACGTTGAGAACTTTGAGGTCGAAGACCTGGTTTTATTAAATACCAAGAACCTTCCTACAAATGCAGTCTCTGCTGGCTTTAAGACAAAGCTTCGTCCATGGTTTATTCGTCCTTTTAAGATTGTGGCCAAGCGAGGCCTTGCGTATACGCTAAACCATCCAAAAGGATCCGCACCCACCCGGTGTTTTATGTGGGCTTGCGTAAGCCGTACGGGAATCCGGCAAAAGAGATCGCGGAAACGTTTGCGCTGAGGCGGCGTTAAAAGGCGCTCGGTCACCCTGCAGCTGATACAGCACTGGTTCTGAGCGTGGAGTGCAACAATTTCCGTTTCTAACGGCACAAAAGGCTCCACCGTCGCACGAAGTGACGTATTCGTCTGCTCAACGGGTAGGAGTTGCTCCAACAGAGCGCGATAATCCTCGACGTGAGGCAGTCGGTGCAGTAAGTGCTCCAGGCTCTCGAGGTTTTCCGCGCAACGGTATGCGACCTCAGAAAGATGCTCGGCGGAGTGCCGATGACGACGGACTCTGTCTTCCAAAGCTCGAAGAGCATCGAGAGTCACCAGAAGGCCTTTGACCAAGTCGTCATCGTCCACCGCCAACACTTCTTGATGAGAATGGTGGCGCCGACTATCACGTGGAGCGCCTTGTGAGTCGACGTCGCCGACAGGATTGAGCCCAATACTTTCTGAAGTTGCAGAGATACCCAAACTGCAAGAACTCGTGGGAGTTTGAGGTGCTCCTTCGGCAAGACTGCCCAGACGTCGTGAACGCTAATGATCAGAAAAATCATGGAGCTTCGCGTCGTCGCGCACCCCGCGCTTCTTGGTGGTAGCTCGGGAAGCCGGAGGGCTATAATCAGAGCTCAAGCTATGGCCCTGGGCTGCTGTGGTCGTAGACTCACCCGTGTGAAAACTACACAGCTCGCGTATGATTCTATGTGTCGCAGGTCGGAAACTCACAGGAAGACGGCGTTGTGCCTTGAGTTTGGCAAATTCAAATCGTAGATGGCGCTCAATGCGCGTGTCCACTTCGTTGTGGCTCCGCTGTAAGTGACTAAGCGAGAAATGTTTCCGGTGCCGCTACACCCATCGCTCAAAGGGCTCCTCATCATCTGCAACGGTTTCACCAGGTGCGAGCACCGCAGGAATAGTCCACATTGCGTAAACAGGAGCGCCTACTTTTTGGGCTCGAAGTCGAGCGAGGTACCTTTCCATTAGAATTTCTTGAGGTACCGGAAAGCGAGCTCGGAGAGCTTTCCGCTAGTCAAGCTCAGCTTGTGTGGTGGCCGGGGGCCCAAATACATAGACGCACAACGATCAAGTGATCGCGTCTTTTGCTTCAGTAGCGGAATCCACCGAGGAGAAGCCGTTCTCCACACGAGAGTCGAGGACCAAACGTGGATACGAGTCCATGAGGGCCGCGCTATGTGCAGCCTTCAACTAATGATCCTGTGCCTCATCAAAGCGATTGGTAATAATGCCACTTCCCGTTGACGTCGAGAGGTCGGGAACAGGCCCGGTGTCCGCAAGGTTCGGGCATGGATCACGTCGCGCTGTTGGCGCACCTCATCCTTCTCGTCTTCCCATGCTGGGAAAAGAGTAGTTGATTCGTAGTCGACTTCCTCCGAAACCTCGATAAGAAAACCCGTCGCCCGGGACACGCGGGTAGTGTTGCGTTCAGTTGCCGAGAGCTTGTGATGTGCCTCCTGTGAATCCGCGGACGTACTGTCCGGAGGGGCACCCCGTGCAGAAGAAGAAGAAGGGCTTTGCTCGCGGGCGCCCTCGGCATCAGCTAGATTGGGTGTTTTTCGTGTCATAGACACAAGGCTCATTGAGCGGAGAATGTTCAAGGATGTCCATAAGGACGATGATGTTCATAAGGACGTGGGGAGCGGTGTGTTAGACACGCGAGCCTCGTATGAGGTGACAGTAAGATGTGGATTGCGGATATTTTAATTTTGATGGGGGTGCGTGTAACGGGGTTACACGTACCCTTGTATGAAAGGGCGGGTCGCACAAGATGGTGCGGCCGTACATATGTGTGTTTTACACAATTTGGTGTTATCACACAATGGTGTGGCTACACCGTAACAAAAAAGCCACTATGTAGCAGGACTGCCAGTAGTAATGAATTTTAATTAGGTTTTACTAAATTAATTAGATACTACTATACTCATTAGGAAAACCTAAGGTTTTAGATATTGGCGGCTCTGCCGCAACTATAACAATCAAATTTAGTTTCAGCTTTGTACGTTGAGCATCTTTACCTTGGCTAAGGTTATAAGTACTCTTGGAGGTAGCGGATTGCAATTCGCTACACTTGTACTGGTACTTGTAATCAGTATAAGGTCGGTGGCCTTATCTTATCTTCCTCTAAGCAAAGAGCTACGGCAGCCCCGCTACATAATGTCGCCCGGCGCAGCGCGGATAACACAAGCAAAAGGTACCTAGTCTTCTTACAAATTAGAAATCTATAAGCTCCCTTATAGAAATGGGAGGTCTCTAGCATCAAGAGCTTGCGATGGTGGGTTTATTCTTGAAGTTCACGTCGTACCTTGTATCGCTCAATATCCATCAGGATCGACGCCAAAGTCAAATGTCTGCGCCACTGTTGCTGGCTTCTTAAGCTATTAGACGGTTGGTGCAACGTGTTTTCCACAGACTAAAAATAAACAAGCGCAAAATTCTTCGGTACTTCGCCCAGAAACAGTGCCCAAGATCTAGTAGATATGAGGAATACGGATCTTTTACTCATGCACCAAGCGTACACAGCACCCCCGAGAAGATGTACGAGAACACTTTCAACTTGATTTTGATTGCTTGTTTTTCTCTCGTTTTGAGCGAAAGGAAGGTGTGTAAGGGCTCCGGATCTGAACAGCAAGCTGCGTTATATAGATCACATCTATGAATCGCAAAGTTATGGAGTTTGCAAAAGTCGATGTGACTCTTGCGCCTGCCAAATCCAGCTCATTGATTGCAGGCTGAGTTGTCGTGAGCTCCATGACAGGGTTTGCAAAAATATGCCGTAGAAAACAGATACATTCGTGATTGGTGTTAAATCGAGGTGCAGTTTAGAGAACGTCTCTTTTCCAGTGAAATGTTTGATAGGATGTCTCTCGTTAAAACGGTGATGTCATTCGACACTAAAGAGTTGCTGCGACCGCTCTCCTCAGAAATAATCTTAGCTTCATCAGGCGTAAAGATCGTCAGCCAAATATACAGCGCCGTTTCACAGAATCGCCGAGCCCTTTCATGGTGTGTAAGGGATCCAACTCCTGGTGCATATGCTTGCGGGAGCAAACACTATGAAACTCTAAATTAAAAATTAAACTACAATTTTATCTATATCTCAAAGAGACAAAAAAGCATTACACTTCTATATGTGAAAAATCCACTTTTGTGAATTTGTACGAAAATAGGTAACACACTTTTTCCAGTTATGCAGTGCTCAACGATCACTACTAAAGGAACGATTAGATACAAATTTGCCTCACGTCACGTAATACACTGCTCAATGGCTCAGTGTACTTATCATATAAATACTTTTCGCCTTAAGAATATTGCCCGAAACTTATGTCTTATTTAAGAAATACACAACCACGAAGCGGTAATCTGTTTGCTTAGCCTTACTCTTGGGTAAAGCCTACGAGTCCTATCTCTAAGCGCAGTATGCGCAGGCTCGTTGATTCAAAGCTTCAATTGCACATGATGCACGCTAACTCTGTTGAATACATTTAGCCTTGTTGCTTATCCTGCCTCATTTTAAAAGATCGACGCACAGAATTGAAGCTTACAAAAAATGTTATCTAAATATACACTTTACGCTTCAAAATGATACAACCCGCTCGCGCTTGAAATAATCACGACTCTCATTCTATATCAATCATATGCTGCTGAATCATAAAACTTGAGTCGTTTCCCTGACGAGATCTCGACGCATATGTTGTTGTGAATCTGGTGTACAGCAGGAAGCATATCTCCCTCTAAAGCCTCGTCATGCTTCAATACTTTAAGGTAATGTAATAATGTCACCCGGCGTCATATCGTTACACAAAACGTGCATATAATCTGAAAAAGGTCCTTCCTGATATATTCACGCTTCGAAAAACTACCGGCTTTTCATTTGATAATGAATTATCGAGGCTCGATCGATCATTGATCTTTCCAATGATTCCTCTTTATCTCAGTATTTTTTTGGAACAGGCTGAAACACTTTTTGCCTTTAAACTGATCAGCACTTATTAAGAAGCACACCTGAACTGGAACAACTTTGATTCAGATAGCAAGAAAATCACACTTGATTAATACAGTATCATCTGATTCGGATTGAGCTTATAAATGATTACATAAGCATCGTATCGGGCTTGGAGAAGCTCGGTTTAGGATAACGAACAGCTTGAAAATTTCAAGGTGAAGGCAAAGTTGAAATGATAAACCACCCATTACGCGTCATGTTTCCATCAACTACGAGAACCGGAATCTGTTCGCGTATTTATTGTGATCTTCTCCCTCCTTCTAAACATTTTGGGCACTGATTTTGTAGCACTGAATACCTTATCACCTTCTTTGGCAGTACAAGCGCAAAAGGCAAAGGTATCACATTCTTTACTACTCGTAACGACAAATTTTCGTTCAAAATGTTGAATAACAAAGCACAGGATTTAGTGACTTTGCTTTTTGATATGACACTAATATAGTCGTAGTCTGCACATCGAAATTAGTAGTAGTAAGTACATTTGATTCTACCCGTAAATCAGTCATTTCCTAGCTGCTTTTAAAGTCCCAACAATTTACACCTTTCAGCTACTTGAATACCTTTTGGCATCCCTATGTTACCGTATCGTCTGCCATGCATGCACGTGTCAGCGACGTGGCACTACCGAAATTGTACTAGTGACTGCAAAATCAAACAATACATAGAATGTTTATCAAGCAGCAGGTACATCTTGAAAATTTAAACAACTATATAACATAGCGGTATGAAAATTTCTCGAAAACTGAAGTGTATGTCAACATCGCATTCCTCGTGGAAATTGAGCACTCTCTCGCTGGCGATGTATAAATATTATGAACTTATTTACCACTACTCAATCTGGAATACTTGTAAACTATACGTCTTACTCAAAGTGCAATATTATTGTGCTAAAATGATATGGATAGCTCAGATTTAAATATCAGAGAAGAAAACGCACGGACCCTCACAATGACATACGCGGCTGCTATGAAAGTATATCACGTTGAAAAGGCTGCTAGATATACTCTCTGCTAGCCGACAAGTCCAATGTCGGGTTGTGTATGAAGAACTCATTTTGGTTATCTATCAAGCTTTTTGGTTATGATCGCCCACTATTCTGTTTCTCCTGCTTAGCAACGCGTCGATGATTTCGTCGGTGGTTGTGTTGAGATCTCTATCACGCGCAACAGCGTGGGTTCTTCGTCATCGTTCTATGAGCAAAGCAAGCACACCACATTTTTACGATATTTGTACAAAGAGGTTCTGACATCAAAACGACAAGTATTATCGCACTTTATCTGGATCAATCTCTACGGGGTTGGCAATGCAAATCTGGTGTCTATTAAATACAGCAATCGACGATCAATTCATGAAAATACAAAAATTCTTTGGGGGAACGAAACACGAGATGTTGACGTTTTGGCCTCACGATAACTAGACACAATGCATCGTCGTCTCGCTCTGATTGGCCGTACGATGATAGCACAATCAGCGTTAAAAGGACCTAAAATTGTTGGTGTAGTGCCTGGAGTCGTACATCAGCCAATCTTGTGTATTGAGTGCATTCCAAGCACTTGTCCACACATCAGGGGGGGCAAACGCAAGCAAAAATGCCCAGAGGCTGCGGTGGCGACATACCTCTTTTGGAAGTGGTAAAGCACCATCTTCATCGAATATCTACGGGCAAGGGCGGCTCAAACCGATACCTCTTCTGTCCATCCTACTTTCGTCACGAAGCAGTAAAAGCAGCATTCAATGCAGAGTACACTCCACCAGGAGGGCCGGTTGAAAAGCAAAGGTTGATGCGCCAAAGTTAATGAACAGATGCTATGATGACAACAAGGATAGAAATCTATTAGTTGCTAAGGAGCTTTGCGAATTTTGCACGTGTTGCATCCGCGGTGGTATGAGCATTTGCGCCTTGTGAGCCCCTTTGGAGCAGCCGAAAAGTATAGCTTGTCGCGCTTCTGCTTAATTTGACAGCGTAAAAGATGTCAGTTTGGGACCGCTATTTGTAACGTGATCTCATCCTAGGTAATGTGTAAATTGAGCAATCTGAGCCTTGGATTAACTACTAGAAAACGAAACAAATAAAGCTGGTTCAAGCTCTGTTTACGAAACACCGATGATGAGATCATTTCTCGAATTTAGGCCCACACTGACATTGCTCCACGCTGTCTAAAATCTTTGATCTCACAGAAAGACTGAACAAAAAATTCGACACCTCATTTGTGTCACCACCGCAAAATATTTCTGTTTTTGACAGCTGCGCGTCATATATCTTTGCACGATGTACTTCATTATAAAAATATTCACGGGGCAGATTCAAGAAGATCAGAGCTGTCAGAGTATTTCTTTAGCAACAGCCAAGAGCTAGAAACACCAAGTCACAAGTTAACCTCTCGCATCGATGATCTGGAATGTATGGCGTACAGGCCAGCCACAACATATGACACACTGTTTCAACCCTCAGAAAGAAGGAAGTCCGACATTTATAAATGAAATGGCACTAGTGTGTGCACGTGTGAATTGCATCAGCGGATTAAATCTTTAGTCAATCTGCTGCGCTAGAAAAAAATGGTGATAGCCCAGAAAAGCATCATATCTATCATGGTCTTTTGAGGTTTTACCTGATAACTCCCGCATTCGACTGCTTGCAAACAGTCTTAGCGAGATAGATCCCCGCAGCCGTCGGTATCACCGTTCCCGGTGAGGTCCCCGCCAAGCTATTTCTTGACGAGGTTTTTGCCAGTATAACGTGCCGGTGGGCATTGTCAGATCGTGCCGTGATTATCGATGACGTATATGTGCCACTAGGCTCAGCCAATTGAAACTGCCGTTGTATGACTATTGATTAGGAGATCGACATAAACACTGTGGACACAGAGCTAGTGCAGTCGCTCGACTTCATCACGAGTGTTTTTTTTATGCAGATACGAAGTACTCGGAGGCAATCATGTCCACCGAAATATGAACAGACGGAACTAGAAACAGATTTCCTCCACCGCGCTTGCCGAATTAACCGCTGTGAAAGAGTACAATGCTCTCCCTCATTGAGGTTGTACTGAATAACGCAGTACATACTGGTTCACGCATGACTTTGACTCTTATAAATAGATTAGTCCCCCCCCTTCACGCCACCACCACGTGATTTGGTCGGTATTTTGCATATACTCTACTCTGTGCTATAAATTTAGCGACATTTACGGGGGTCTCATTAGAAACAATCGACTCTGGGTGTCCGTGTTGAGGAAAAACACGATCCACGAACAGCGTTGCTGTACCGACTTCGTCGATGGTGTCTAGCACCGCCGCCAAATGAGCCATCTTGCTCAACCGATTGAAGAATATCACGACACTCGTGTTGCCCGCCGAATCTTTCGGAAGGCTAAACACAAAGTCCAAGCTCATGGACTGCCAGCACCCAGGGGGTACCGGTAAGCTGGCCAGCGGCTCAGCCGCATTTGGAGAGGGTCCCACCGGTTGACACGTCTCACACGTGCGCACATAGGTGCTCGTCCATTTGAACATCCTGGGCCACCAATAGTGGTGACTCACAGAGTTGTACTTTTTCTCACGACCGAGATGGCCACTGAGTGGCGTGTCGTGAGCCTCATAGAGGATGCGGTATTTTAAATCCTCATCATTAGGAACCACAATTCGTGGTGAATCCGTTGAATCGGTGCTATAATATAGCAAACCGTCATTCAACGAATATCGGTGCAATCGTGCACGCAATCTTGATGACAATTTCCTGTCTGAGTTCCCAAACTCCTTGCTCCTTAGAGCCCGTAGCGACGCTACACACATCCCATCACCCGCATACGCGGTGCGGATCAAATCCGTC